TGAATGAATGATTCTATTAATGTAAGTTTCAAAACCTAAGTAAAACAGCCATCATGTTGAAGGATGCAATATAGATAATAAAACTCTAAAGAAAAGTAAGCACATAATTACCATAATAGGTTTTTTGGGGGGTAGATATCTTTGGGGAGGTGATTGAGAGGGGGTATAAGGGGATTCTTGGGGTGCTGGTAGTATTCTATCTCTGGACTCGGGAGTGGTTACATGAGTATTTGCTTTGTGATAAGACATGAAATTAAACATTTCAGTTCAGGGACAGAGGTAAAAATGAGAGAGAAAATAACAATGGAAGGTCTGAACAAAGGCAATTACAGTGGGAGAAACTCTGATGTGCTGCCCTTCATTCTAATAGGCTTGCCTTTTGCGTTTTAGCATCTTTGGAACCACAGTACATCCTCCCATCAGTGGCATCTAAAATGTGCTGGAACATCTGTTCAGTGCCCCTCACCCTGCCAGCTGCCTCCCTCTAGGAGATCTCAGGCCTCCTGAGCAGTGCCATGCCCACAGAAGGTGGCACACAGCAGCCTGTAGCCCCTCGGTTGTCAGGAGTGAGGGGAGGAAGGGGCCCAGAGCATGCTGGTGATGACCGGAAATGGGAGCAAAAGTCCCCTGCTCTGGCCAGGATTTACCTCAGTGGTTCCGCTGCCTGCCTCACAAGTGCAAGGCCCTGAGTTCGATCCCTGGTACCAAGAAAAAGTCCCCTGCTCTGAGCCTGACTCCACGCCCCTCTCCAGCGACAGCACAGGGTCTGCTGACATCCACAGGATGCTGCTCCCTGTGTATCATGCCCCGGGGTGACCTGGCCAGCCTCATGATGAGATGTACATTGGCTGGATGGTAGAAGGACAATCACGGGTGGTTTTGATGAAAGAAGCCAGGAGCCTAGAAACCAGCACAAGCTTAGTTTCCTTCTGACCCAGCCCCGGGCACAATTCACTCCTTAAACTGAAAGCTGCTTTCGGTGTCATTTGAGCCCAGCTAAAACTGTGTTGTGTAGCTATAAAGGGAAGTGTCAGAGAGAGTGGGAGGGGCTTGGATTAGATTTCAGAGGGACTTCCTGGTGGCAACTCTGGTGCCATAAAACACCTACTTAATATAAATACTGCCATTCCTATCTCTGGAGACCCTAAATACTCAACTAGATGACATCTAGGAGGCTTCAGTGTGTTGGGCAGTAAGTCAGTGGATCTTATGTGTATGCACCATCTCTAAGTCATTCCCCAAGTCCAAGAGGTGGGTACTGTTTTGGTATTTCCACGGTAACCTGAGCCAGCCAAGGCTGGAAGACACAAAACAACAAGAATCCAAGGTCCCACAGCTTCCAAGATGGGCAGAACTTGACCCATCTCCAGAGGCTCTTTACTACCTGGTAGCACTGCTCAATTGTGGAGTCTTCAGCTGGCTCTGAAAACAATCTGGAATTTTTTCATTTCTTTTTTTAAAGAATACTATCCATTTCCGGAAAGGTGCTGCCTAGGCCCTTCCCATCCACTTCCAGAAGAGTTACTCCAAATAATGAGAGAGCAGCTACCATGGCTCAGTGGCTTACCGTGATCTTCTTCATTCCCCCTCTGTCCTTGGCCCCAAGCCTTCCCAGTTGTGCTATAAGTAGCACTGACCCAATCGTTGTCTGCCCAGGAGCCAGGACTATTTTGACTCTGTCCTCAGGACTCATGTGGTCTGAGGTGTGTACAAGCTGGATCACTCCCATGAGCACTCGGATGTGGTGCCAGGAATGTTCTGGCCAACACACCTGTTCCCAGAGCTGGGCTAAATGCTGCTCCTTATCCACAGCCTGCACCATGTGCCTCCTGAGATGCGGTTCCAGGAGGGAGAGGTGTTGGAGACTGGTAATGGGGGTGTTGAGGGTCTTAGATACTCATCCATAAGAGAACAACCGAGCAGTTTCTGCTGACACTGCCTTTTGTGGCTCTCCATTATACGGGAGCATGGTAATCATTGCGTTAGTGACAGCCAGTCAGTGGGACCCACCCCAGAAACCTCCTTAAAATAGCACAATCATCCTTCCCTGAAAGCCCAGGGGACTTCCCTCTCTGGGGCTTTTCCTAGACCAACTTAACTCTAAGTCCTGGTGCAAGACTCCTGCCTTCATTCCCTTCCCTTCCCCTACTACAATGGCTTGGCCTTTTCAAAGGCCAGCTGAAGCCACTCCCTCAGGAAGTCTTCCTGGATAAGTCCAGCCCATCCTTCTCTTACCATCCCAGGGTCCTTAGCATAAACTTCCCTTTAATAGAGGTGTCCTCACCCCCCCACCACACACTTTTTTTTCCTTTCAATCTAAGCAGAAAGCTTTTAACTTCAGCTATATTTCACTTCCTCCACACAAGATGCAGCAGGTACCCAGTCAGGGTGGGCTGATGACCCAGCTCGGTCAGCAAGGCCAGCCCAGCTCTACCCAGGAAACAAGTCTGCATCTCCTTCTTGTGTTCAGACATGATTACTGAACAAGACCTCTTTGCTTGTTACTGGTCTGAACCCTGGAGAAAGAGTCCCTGACTGAGAGCAGCCCGTGGCCTCCTAGGGACACACATATTACCGTATAGCTGGCTCCATGCCCTTATTCAAAGGCAGTGTGACTAACTTTGCCTCAGGAAGTTGGGAAAGACCTCTCCAAGGATTTGACCTGTGACAGACTTTCACTGGGGCTCAGAAAGCCCTAAAGTGAAAAGGAAGGAGGAACAGCGTCCCAGTGGTGGGGACAGCATTTGCAAGGCACAAAGACCAAAAGCCTCCATGTTCCTGACAGATGCCCACCCCTCATATCACAGGTTCCACACAGTCAGATTCAACCAACTATGGACTGAAAATATTTGAAGAAAAATGTGTCTTTACTGAGCATGTACAGCTGTTTTTCTTGTCATTATTTCTTAAACAATGCAGTGTAACAACTATTGACATAACATTTACACTGTAGGAGGTATCATAAATAACCTAGAGGTAATTTAAAGGACACCAAAAGATATAAGTCATATACAAGTGCTACATTATTTTACACAGGACTGGAGCATCCATGGATCTTGGTATTCATGGGGTTCCTGCAGGTAATAAGGGAGGACTTCGGTTCTCAGATTGGCTGGCCATGGACAGAGAGGCTGCTCGGCTCCTTGCCCTGACTGAGGAGACTGGAGCCCCATGAAGACAGACCTGGGCACATCAGTCCCTGGGTGTCAGAGCTCCCGGAGTCCCTGCCTCTGCCCCTCAAGGCCTGCTACCTCTCCTTCCAGCCTCCCTCTGTTCCTTCCCAATTAGCATGAAATTGGCTTCTGTAATGCTGATGTGCTTTCCTTCTTGTTAGAATCTTAATATTGCATGAATCACAAGTCCCAAGCTGCCCTGGTGTGGTGGTCAGGGTCAGAAGTATGAATTAAAATAATGCATGATCCCGATTGCTGCAGTCAGGGAATGCTGAGGCCAGCTGAAGAGGTTGCTCACCTTTGTCACTGATAATGAGAGCACTTCCGAGGCTGCTGATCTCAAACTCTTTCATTGGAGAGCTTTAAACACCTTGTCCACGTTACCCCGTCATAATAATATGGAGAGCTACTTTTCTATTGAGCCTTTCAATATAAGTATGATTTCATTTAATCATGACATGACTTTATGATGTATGGTTGAGTGATAACCCCAAGATCTCACAGCTGGTCATCATACAGCCAGAGTCTCAGTCTCTGGGGCTTTGTATTAAGCACAATAAGAAAGAATGATCCTGGTCTGAGGGTGCTGTGTAGCCCCCTAGTCTTCCCTAGTCTCCAGGACAAAGCGCTGACCTGTTCAGACGCTCGCAATGCGTACTGGGTGCCAGGCACTGTGCTGTGGCCAGGGGAAGTCTCAGAATGCATAGACCTAGTATCTGCAGCTCATCCCCACTGGACCCAGGGCCCTCTTCCCAGACTTTCTCACTCCTTCATGCAACCTGGTCAGCACCCCCCCACACACACACTGTGGCTACCACATAGTTCCCCTTTCTCTAAGCTTCTTAGTGCTCATTGCACAAGCCACAGCATCTCCTGCTTTATTTATTTATTTTATTCACTCAGCAGTCATTTGTATGTGGAAGGCACTGGGGACACATTAGTATACACTGTACCTTCATGAAGCCACTTGGACCATGTGCCCTCTCCCCAAAGACTCAGTCCTACATAGTAGCATCATGAAGAAGACTGGGCCACAGTCAGAAGGACTGAGGTTCCACCATTTTAGCAACAGAGAGAAAGTCATTCAGTCTTTTCATCTGGAAAGTGGGACTAACAATATCTTGCTGGTGTGGTGGCCCATGCCTGAAATCTCAGCACTCGGGTGACTGAGGCAGGAGGATCACAGCAAGTTCAAGGCCAGCCTGGGCTGCATAGTGAATTCAAGGCCAGCCTGAACTACATAGTGAGACCTTGTCTCAAAAAAAACAAAAAACAAAAAAAAACTTAACCTGCCTATCTGACAAAGGATAGACTTGTTTAAATGAAATTAAGTATATGAAGATATTCTTGAGTTATAAAGTTCTACACCAATAATGTTATCATGATGTTTATCTTCTGTCTCCTAAGAATGACTAGCATAAATCTGGACACATAGTAAATATCAGTTAATTTAAACTGAATTGATTCATTCACTCCACCTATCACCTTCTGTGGGCCCTGGAGCCCACTGTAAATCCTAGTGCTGAGGATGCCTGCCCACCTGCTGGGTCAAGTGAAAAGGACAGGGGTGCCTTGGAAGCTGTCCTTATGGGGCTGACTCTGGGTCCCCCTGGGGAGCTGGCCTGAGGGCTGGGTGTCCCTGACTATGAAACTGCAGGCATCAGGCAGCCTCTGTCTAAGCCCAAGGCCCATTGTCTTTGGAGAACTGAGCTCCCAAACTATTAGGGCTGCCAGGGCCAGGGTGGTTCCCATGACAAGGGAACAGTCTCCAGAAGGAGCCAGCTGCCACATGCCCACTCCTCATTAGCCCTTTGCCTCTCATTTCAGCACCCCTACCCCACGGAGGATGAGAAGAGACAGATCGCAGCCCAGACAAACCTCACACTCCTTCAAGTAAACAACTGGTGAGTTAGCATCACCTGCCAAAAGGCTCTCAGATCCAAGGGCCACATGCTTGGCAAAGGACCATGTAGCAGAGGGAACAGATAGAATGCCCAGACTTGTTTCAGGCTCAGGCCCGCTAGCTGCCAGGCCAGCTCTCCCGCCTATGGATTCGTCTGCAGCTTCTCCGCACCCTCTGCTGGTCAACTGTGTCATATACATCCCTCTGAGCTTCTCCTAACAGCTCAGCCCACCCTGAGCGTCCAGCCCCACCTGTCCTACAGAAACAGGCTGAAATTCCCGAGTCCACGCCTGGAGGCGAAGCCAGTGGTCAACTGGTCTGCCCCAGTTCTATGTGAACTGAAACAAAAACATTCTGCTGAGCTAGGAGCAGGAAGGAGGAGAGAGCCACCATTCTCAGGGACCTCAGGCCACGCGGGGGCCGCAGCTTTCCCCTTCTGTTTGTGTCTAGCTGGCTGGGAGTGGACTCTAGAGACAGGGTCCCACATTTGAGCTCTCAACCCTCTGGAGAGAAGTCAGAAGTTGCTGCCTATGATTTCGGCTTTTCCCTCCTCTGTTCCATCTTGACAGATTTTGATTGAGTCTCCAATCTCTCCACATGTGTTCTTCTGGGTGGTGACCAAGCCCCAGGGGATTTTGTGAACTCCTCAGCAACAAGGCCCTTGTCTCTGCTTTCACCTCCTGAATTGAAATGCCATCCACTCTGTCCAGTAAAGTCTGGGACCAGCCTAGCCCTCCTTGCTGCCACCCCCGCCCAGCATCCCCCAAGTGGTAACTAACCAGGTCACCACTTTTACCCCTGCACAGGTTCATCAATGCCCGGAGGCGCATCCTACAGCCCATGCTCGATGCCAGCAACCCAGACCCTGCCCCCAAAGCCAAGAAGATCAAGTCTCAGCACCGGCCCACCCAAAGATTCTGGCCCAACTCCATCGCCGCAGGGGTGCTACAGCAGCAGGGTGGCACCCCAGGGACAAACCCTGATGGTAGGAACTGGGGCTGAGGGCACCTGAGGCAGGGGCTCCTGGAAAGCAGATTCAAGGGTCACCTCCTTACTCAGAACCCTGTAGCTGTCCTGTACAATGATCCCTCCCGGGTTTCCATCAGAACCTTAAAGGAGATGCCTTTGTACACCTTTTCACAAGCCAAAGCAGTCTCCAAGATGAGTGGGAACTGGTGGTCATCTTGAGTCAGTGACTGCTCGGCAGAACCCTCTTCACTCCTACACCCCCCCATCCCCGCTCAGCACAGTCAGTGTCTGCATAGCTCCCCAAGGCCAAGGCCATCTATAAATACCAAGCAGGCAGCTGGCTTTCGAACAGAGGCCAGGAAGGGCTTCGTTTTCCCAGCATCTCCGTCACAGCCTCCACAAACACTCTTCTAATTGACAGTTGCTAGTACACAATGAATAATTCAGACAGACGTTGTAGAGCTGGGTGTGTGAAGCTAGTGTGAGCAGCAGGGTGGAGGTGTGAGTATGTGCATACATGTCTGTGCATCCGTGTGTGTGTGGTTGTGTAAGGCTCTATGTGAGGGACAGCACCCTATAGGCTACAGTACAAATATGGGCTAGAGCAGCCCAGGAGAGAATCCCAACTAGGTAATCAGTGTTACCTTGAGCTAATGACGTCACTGTCTGAGACTCAGTTTCCTTCTTTGTTGAGTGATACCTGTCTTACAGAATTATTAGAAAGCCAAAAGTGTTTCACATATGAGGTATGATTTGAAAATGTGGTGCATGTTTAAGTTTTTAAAATTTTATTATAGCAAAAGACACATTGTCGTTAATCCCTGACAACAAATGTAATCCCCATTAAAAAAAACTTCCTCTCCCTTTGAACACACTTATCCCATCTCTCCTTCTGATGTACTTCGGGAAGTCCTCTTTCATGTCTTTGGTTGCACTGTTGTGGCTACCTCAATGTCCTGAACCAATTCAAAATGTTTACCTTTTGTGGTTATTTTGACTTTGGGGCAGAGCCAGAGTCTCATGCTGCCAAATCTGATGAATAAGGTCAATGAGGACACACCGTAATGTCTTGATTTGACAGAAATTGCCATAAATGTTTGATCAATGAGAGGTGATCAAAAATACATTTAATGTTTAAATTTAAAAATGTATTACAGTAAAAGACACAATGCCATTAATCCCTCTGAAAATACTCCCTTGTTACAAACATGCTTACCTCATCATTCTTGGCACTGTGTCTCTTACTGTAATAACTTTTTCTTCATTTAAACATTCTCTGTATCTTGCTTTCAATCACCCTTGTATTTGCACTGGAGATGCAGAGTAAATGGTGGCCAGGAGTGCTGCTGCTTGGCATTAGGCAGGAAGTGGCTGAGGAGTAAGGGGTGGGAAACTTCCCAGGGGGGATTGCTAGTTTAGGGAAAAACTGAGTCTCAGACAGTGACGTCATTAGCTCAAGGTAAAACAGTGACTACCTAGTTGGGATTCTCTCCTGGGCTGCTCTAGCCCCAAGTCTGCTTATTTCTACCATAGCCTATAAGGTGCTGCCCCTCACATAGAACCTTACACGACCACATTCACCCTATGATTCAGTCCATTCCATCTTGTCCAACATGGAGGTCGCTGGACCTGATGTCAGCCCCTGTGTGGTTGTGACCCTCTCATGACCCTTGCCCTCTCTCATGCAGGTTCCATCAACTTGGACAACCTGCAATCCCTGTCCTCAGACAATGCCACCATGGCTATGCAGCAGGCTATGATGGCTGCACACGATGACTCACTGGATGGAACAGAAGAAGAGGATGAGGATGAGATGGAGGAGGAGGAGGAGGAAGAGGAGCTTGAGGAGGAGGCCGATGAGCTGCAGACGACGAATGTCAATGACCTGGGCTTGGAACACAGTGACTCCCTGGAGTAGTCACAGCCCACGTGGTGCTGATCACCGAGCAACAGAGGAGCAGCATCAGGAGGGTTCAGGGTTGGGGGAGGGCATGGGCAGACAGCACCAAGGAAGTTGGGCCCTCACTTCCCCAAATCAGTAGCTTGAGGAAATGCAGACGAGATACCCTGCTCCTTCCCGACCACCAGGCTTCAACAAGCACCCAGCCTGCTTCCCTAGAACTGGAGAGGACTCTATTGGGGGAGCCATCAAGCAGCCTCTTTGGAAAGACAGGACTGAGATCTGGACTTACCAAATCCCTGAGGACAGATGGCACCAGTGGAACCTCCATGGAAGGACTTGATTGTGTACAAGGCCTGCACTGTGAGGTGGATTGGTGTTGTTTGCAAAGTGGGCTTTGCCAAGGGACGACTTGGGAGGGAAGGGTGACACAACCCCCCCCCAAGGATCTCTCCTCCTTTAAGAGACACTCAAGGGCAAGAGGGACCCCAAAAGCACAGTCAGCAGCTGGAGGAGGGGGAGGACCTGAGGCAACAGGTCTTGCAGACCAGACTGGGCCCTGGACTCCATAGGGCTCCAGCTCAGTTGCAGGGCCTGTCTGTGGGCACACCAACCATGGACTTGGGAGAGGGGGAAGGGAGCCAGCAGAGCTTCCTTCTCTTTCTCCTGAAAACACATTGTTAGCTGTTGGGCTCAACCTGTAAGAGGCTAAAGGGGTTCCTCCATCTGAGTTGGCTCCAGGAGCCAAGGAGGTGGCAGAACCTGAACTGGGAGCCATATCAAAGTGACTTTGGAACCACAGCTGTCCCTAGGTGGTCATAGAACTCAGCTCCTGTAACAACAGGACGATGATGTCTTACCCTAGATATTCTCACCCTCAAATGAAGCTCCTCATGCTCCAGGCCCTCCACAGACCTTCATGAAGTAGAGCCAGAGTGACTGGAATCTTCTCACCCTGCAGGCCACCATGGCTGCTCCCGTGCTCCCAGGCTGACACCAGCAGCCTCCAGCCTCTCTTCTTTTATTCCATCAGAGAAGACAGAAGAAACATGGGAAAGAAGCAGCAGCCAATGGGGAGCCAGGGTCCGGAGAAGGTGCTGCATCCTTTTTTCTTCAGTATCCAAAATTGCAGAGGGGGATGGCACTCAAGAGCCTGCCCACCCCACCCAACTCACTGCTCTGCACACCTGCACTATATTCAGCGCTGGAGGAACTGGAGCTCCTGGGAGGAGGAGCCTTTCCATCTGCTCTCACACTTTCTCCCAGCTCGACTTTTGTCCCAGGGCCCCATCATGGGCACTTCCTCCTCCTGTTTCCTCCCACCCTAGGCTGTGAATGACAGGACTGATCACACGTGTTTCCCATTGGATTTAATTTGACGGACTTGCAGTTTCATTTGTAAATTGTGCATTAGCCATCTCCTTCAGTGGCATGATGTGAGTGGCTACCTGGCTCAGCTGGAGGGGACCTCAGGGCCCTTTGGGGCTTCCCCTCCCCTGCCTGGTTGGGGCGGAGCAAAAGGATAGTCGCTCTCCTGAGGGCTCCCTGAAATGAATGTATTTCCCCCCCAAAAAGAGCTGATATTTAATGTTTTAATAGGGATTTTTGAGAAACAAATAACCTTATTTATAATCTGGGTGATCCAATCATTTTTTACTCCCTTTTGATGCCATAAGTAGAGGGAAGACTAGCTTTTTTGGCGTGAGACTTTTGCAATGTGCAGTGGGATAAAATACATTCCCTCTTCTGGTTCATTTTTCTGGTTAAAATGCACATACACACACACACACACACACATACACAAACACACCCCTCTTCCATGCACCACAACAGCATTCTACCCGCACAGGTACATCCGCTCACACGTGCCCACATCTCTTCCTCCAACCCCACCCACCTGCCTGTTATGCAACCTCCTTCTGATGTATCCACCAATCCAGTACTGAATGTGGCCGAGACGTTTCAGTAAATCTTATTACCTACCGTAACACTGGTGCGCAACTCTGTTTCTGTGGCTGCTGTACAGGTCCCTTCTTTCTTTAGTGGGACCCTGGGCCATACAGAATTTGGAGACCTCAGCATCTACTCCGTTACACTACCCACAGAAAGGGGCAAAGAAAAAGGCTCTGTAGGCAACCTCAGTTCCCCTCCCATCTATCTGGGGAGGAAGATGGCCAAATTTGGCACATTTACCTTGTAAGTATCTAACTAAAACAAAGAGGTTAGAGAGGCCAGAGGGCAGCTCCATACTACCATCTCTTGATGCTCTCCCCCTACTGCAGTAGAGAGTTCTGAATTTGGTCCTTGCCTTTCACTATTCTCCACCTCCCTCCAAGGCCTTTGTATTCCTTCTCCATCCTAGGCCCTGGGGTCTCATTATCCCATCTGGTTCCACCACAGCACTGCACCTCAGCACTCATATGTCTACCTCACCATCCTGACCCCTGAGTGAAAGGTCTCAGCAACACAGAGGAGGTGAAGTCTTGACAGCACCTTTAACCCCGAGCTATGTCTATGGTGTGTGTGTGAGGAGGCTGCCCTGGAATCCTGCAGTCTAGCACTGAGTTCCCTGGAGCGAGAAGTTGTTTGGGGCAGCTTATCTCCCTGTATAAGTGAGGAGCTTTCTTGTCAACCTCAGACTAGAGCTTTCCTTCCCTGGGTACTGTTGCTGAGATAACCAGAATATCTGCGTAAGCAGGAGGGGAGTTCCTTGTCCTGAGTCACAAAGGCTGCAGAATGTGCACACACCCATGGGTCTCCTAGAGTCAGGCCAAGGATGGGGAAGGGGGTGGTCACACAAACGGGCCCAAGCACCTCTGAGGGAGGTTCCCTAGGTCACAGTTCCCACAGAGCCCAGTTCTACCATCACACCATCACCTGGAGAGAGTTCTGCAAACTCAGCAGAAACCTCTTCTCTTTGGACAGATGGAAACAAGATCCATGAGAAGATAATGCATTAGAAGCTCATTACCCAGTCTTTTAAAGCACTATTTCCAAGGAACAATTTCAAAGGTATACTAACCAAGGAAAAGAAGTTCTGTGGCCAAATTAGCCTAGTACTATAGTATTGACTGCATATTATACTTCATTAGTAGCATCTCATAATGCACTTCAGTGTGTTAAAGGCTCTGAAAAGTCCTTCAGGAAAGAAACCTGTTGAACTTTGTTTCAGATATTCTCCAGATTGTTGTCCCACCCTCCATCAAGTACGTAATATCTATTGAAGAGATACCAGAATTTCTGAAAAACACACTTTAGGGAACACTAAAGTTGGAGAGATGTAGCTCAGAGGTAGAGTGCTTGCCTACCACGCATGAGGCCCTAGGCTTGATTCCAGACCATACACAAAAGAAAGGAAGGAAAAAGGAAGGAAGGAAGGATAGAACAGCCTCTCCTCCTCTGCTTTTTTTCCATTTAGCTCTGCCATCTTGTCAACAATGCCGCCAACTAAAAAGCTATTTTTATTTGTTCTTTTTTTGTTTTTGTATTTTATTTTTGAGGCAGGGTCTTGCTGTGTAGTTCAGGCTAGCCATGAACTCACTAGGTAGTCACTAGCTCGGCTGATCTCTAACTCACTGTGATCCTCCTGCCTCAGTCTCCCAAGTGTTGAGACTACAAGTGTGGGTAACCCTAACCCTAAAAGCAGTTTTCTAAATCATTTGAGATATGGATGGTTGTATTCTGAAGAAGCAGCAACTTCTTTCTGTGCATGACCCATATGGTACCCAACCCAAGAAGACAATATGCTGTAATCCCTGCAGTAGTAAGACAGCTGGGACAGTGGTAGAGGGGGTGGGAGGTTTCCTTTAGCTCAAAGTGGAACTCTGATATTAGGGTCCTAGACTGCTAAGATTAACTTCTGCCTCTGACCCCCAGTCCTTCAGGAAAGACCTTTTAGCTTAGAGATTCTGCTCATGAGAGTTAGCAGCCAGAGCTGAACATCCTTGACCCAGGAGGCCTCCTCTGCCTCGCATGGGGCCCAGGAGGGCAATGGCTGCTGTCCTGCAGTCTGCTCCATCTCACTCCTAATAAGTCACTCATTTATTGAGTTCCCACTCTGTCCCAGGCACTGTTATAGACATCAAGGGTACAACTGTGATCGACAGAGTTCTTGCCTTTGAGGAGTTTGTGTTTTAGATCAGTCCTGAAAGTGTACTTGTGATGTCCCTGTAATAGTTGAACCCATGACCTTATCTCATCCTAGGACCATGATTGCAAATTCTATGGCTCCGAGTTACAAATAAGAGATTCTCAAGTGGGATAGTCAGGTTGAATTCTGCTGGCAGGCATGTTTTCTTTGGACCACTGGTTGTTTTAAAATTTTTTATACAGCATTTAAAAACTGAAAGATTGCACATTTAAAATAAAAAACAGATTCCTGGTCTGGAGCAGTCAGGCAGCTTGGGACATATAACCCACATGGCCACAACTGGGTGTGGTTGAATAATTGCTTCCCACTAAGGTAAGCTTTCCAGGTTATGACATTGGCCACCCCGTGGCCCCCCAACACTGAGGCTGAGGGTCAGGTGCCACTTATGATGGGGCTGTCCCTATGTGTTTAGCTGGTTGGTGGCTTTACTTCCCCCTCCCTTTTTCCCCTTTCTCTCCAACATCTAAGGAGAATATTTTAAAGAAGGAGAATATTTCTCCAAAGTGATGACTCCATCAAGAGGGAGAAAATATGCTGGACATGGTGGAGCACACCTCTAATCCCAGCACTCAGGAGGCTGAGGCAGGAAGACTGCTTTGAGTTCAAGATCAACCTGGGTTAGATAGTGAGTTCAAGGCCAACGTGGATGATAGAGCAAGAACCTGTCGGGCGGGGGGTGCATTATAGTCCAAGAGGACTCTACCTTTGAAACAAAATATTGGAGAGAATGTATTTGTGGAAATGAAGATCCTTCTACTTTTCATTGCAAAGTGTGCCTGGTCTCATGTTCTAGATACCCCTACTCCTACATTAACTGCCTGGCTGGCCCCTAGAAGCAATCATGAGCCTTGGGGCATAAAATTGACCAGGTTTGTTATTAATATATGTACATTAGGCCCCCAAATCAGTGTTTTTCCCTGGAACATTGCTCACAGGAAATAGCTTTCAGCTGCCTTTTGAAGTTCTTTGTTTTATAGCTTCTCCTAATTTCTTTTTCCATATAAGCTACAACTGTATGCTGGCATCAACCTGGGGTCAGAGTACAGTGGACCCTCAAGTTACAACCAGCCTGATATACAAACAACTTGGGTTAATTAGGTTAGTGGAAGATTCATCTTCCTCTTATTAACTATAGAGTGTACCCAGGTAAACATCTAGATCTCAGCTGTATTGACTTACAACCAATTTGAGTTACAACCAGCCCTTGGGAACCTATTAGTTCGTAAGTCAAGAGTCTACTGTAATTCACCTTTTCAGAGCATCACAGACCAAAGGATAGCTAGAGTACCTAGGACTGGCAGGCAGAACACTGATCACATTTCCACTTCAGTATCTTATTTCCAGCCCATAGATGAAGTCAGTTTTATTATACTACTTTCAAGTGTATCCTATACTTTTAGATTTCTCAGCCTCTCTCTGGGCCAATCTCATTTAGCCCCTTTGCAAATTAATGCACCTCATTACACTGAACCCATTTAGGACAATGCCCTTCAGGTGTGTGTATCTTAGTACATCTTTCATTTTAAGACAAGTGTTTGATTTATTTTTCATCTCATTACACTCTTTAAAATTATGTGCATCTCATTACACTCAGTGCACTGAGATGGCTTATTTCAGGTGTAGATATTACACCCAGTATTATCAGGCAAGAATATGATTTTTTTCATTTCATTACAAGCCTTACAATTTATGTACATCTCATTACAATCAGCCCTTTAAGACAATTCCCTTCAGTTGTGTGCATCTCATTATACCTTTTCATTTTGTTTGGAGTTTGGGTTTTTTTTCACATTACTATTCAGAGCGCTCACTTCAGGTGTATATCTCTCATATTTGCATTATTTCAAGTGAATTTTGGGGGGGGTTGTCTGAGTATTGCAAAATTTTTATTATATCAAATTCATTTAAGGCGGAACCCACCTCCCTGCAAGCCTCCCACGAGTCCTTTACTCAGACAGAAGAATGCTGGGTGCCACCCCATTTAGTCAAGGCTCTACCAATAACTTCCCCTTACACACAGGGACCATCTACACCAACTGGCCTCACTTGCACATTGAGGGGATCAGAGGACCAAGATTCTCTCTAGGTTTCCCTTGGGTTGAAATCTACAGCTCCAACGTTGTGGGCACCAGCAGGTTCCAGCTCCTCCTGTGGAAGCTGCTTTTGTACCCCAGGGGGGCTGCCCAATCCTACTGGGAAAACAGCTTGACACTGCTGCCCAGCTCCCGACAGCTGGAGAGGCTGACTTCTTCCTGCATTTTTGGTTTGGTTTGGTGTTGGGAATGGAGTCCAGGGCTTCACGCATCCCAGGCAATCTCTACCGCTGGCTATGCTCCAAGCCCATGCTGCCCTTTTGACTGGATAGTGCTGTATGTCTATATGGGGACACCTTTTGGAAAGTTAAATAGTTTTGCCCCCTTGGGATGGAAACTCCCCAGGCCCAGCAGGAC